GAAGGGCGGGGGGGGGTCCCCCGGGCTCCGGCGCGGAGCCCTCGGGTGGCGACTTCTGCCCGGTTGGGCTCGGTCTTCAGTAAAAGGGCAGCGGGGGTCTCCTTTCCAGCAGACCCGCGAGATCGACCGCTAAAAACCAGCGCCGTCACCTACTGATGGCAGCGATATTTCCCTTTAATTTTGACCCAGTACCGTGTTTGCGAGCCGCCTCTTCCAGCGCTCCCAGCAATGGGGTATGGGGTTGATTCAAGGTGGCTGGATGCAAATTGTTTGTAAATGATCTCACCGATATTTTCCTCTCACAAATCTCAGGGTCGCTCGTGTCAATGTGCTGTACGCGGTTCTAGACTGCAGGCTTTTATTTCTGAAGCTGCTTGTTATGGGAATGCTCGCTAAGCTTCGTTGCGCTGCAGAAGGCTGGGGCGGGTGGAAGTGGAAGGGAACACGTACGGAAAGTATTCCTGCAGTTTTAAGGAGTATTGGTGCGTGTATTTGTAGAATGGGATCCAAAACTGTAACTGGGTACGTTGACTCAAGTCTCCTCGCTTGCCTTCTGGCGTGAACTGGTAGGATGTGCTGTCCTTCGCCTCTGTCTTTCACTGATTTCTGGAAAAAACTGGAGTTCTGTCAGTCTTCTGGATGAAAAAACTTTCCCCAAGTGTCTTAATTGCAAAATTAAGTAAAGAGTATTTTAACTGCTGGAGCTGGTGAGGACGGCTTATCTGGAGGCATTAAAGAATCCAAAACATCACCAGATTACTTGAATATTGTTTCACCAGACTTTTAAAATTGCTATCTGCAATTTCTATGTGTCAATATTTGGCCCTTGTCACTTAGCATTTGAGAATAAAATTCTGTGTCTGGTATTCTTTGATTTTGGACTCTGTAATTAAGAAAATCAGTTGCCTCTCACAGCACGTCAGTACTGAAATACCGTTCAGGCCTGTGTGAGATTTAAAAGGGCAGAACAGAACTTGGTTTCTTCCTTTGGTGCTCTCGCATTACAGCTCACTTCTCTTTGCCTTGATGTACAGCTTTTATATTCCGTTACCTTATTCTTTGCTTCCTGATGATGCTTTGAAGCTTCATCTGGGGCTGGGAATCCTTGCTTTGAGGTGTTGGACGAGTGGCTAACGAGGGCCGGTCACTGGCTCAGGTCTGCGTGCTAAACAGGCGGAAACAGAACAGCAAGGCCAAGAGAGCAGGACGCTGCTGTGGGATGCTGAAGTGATTCAGGGTCAAATCCTGTGAGGATCGTTGTGGCACAGGCACGGTGGGTCTGTAAGGGGACCGTCCGGTCAGCTTTGTAGGGTACTTTTCATCAGGATTAGTGAAAGCTGTGGGAATGGGGTTTTCTTGTCTGTTTATTTGTTCTTTTTTAATTGATACTTCTCAGTCCTCTAGGGGCTTTTTTTAGTGGTTCTTGAGTGCTGGTTCAACCTAAGGACCGTGGTGTTGGGAGGGTGTATGTGGATTTGGGGACGATGAGCTTGCCCACAGTGAAATGCGAGGTTCCTGTTCCTGTTGAAAAGGAAGATCCGTCTGAGGCTCCAACTCGTGCTTAACCTGAGTTTCTTGGGCTGGGGAGAGCCGATCCCCAGAAGTTTAAAAGTCCTCCAGAACAAACTCCATAGCGCTGCTATTGCAGAATCCTTTCATTTGAATTAAATTACTTCTGAGGTGTAGCCGCGTGGAGGCATTGTTTTTATTCTGAAAAGCATAATCCTTGCCTACCTGCTTACAGCACCGTGGTTTTCCTGCAGATTGGAACAGGAATTATTTTCTGGATAAGAAAAGCTTGGCGTTGCCTTTATGAATCCCCTCCTGTTAGTGCTGACATGGAAAACTCTGCCCGCACCCCACGCTGCGCCGCTGGTTTAAGCCAAGCGTACGTTCTGTCATGGAAGTGGCTTTAGCTGCGGGGTAAAAAGCCCAAACCCTGATACACTTTCCATCTTCGGTGCTTCTTTTCAAAGCTTGAGAACTTGCAGGTTGAGGTTTTTCATTGGAACTGTCTTTCTAAGAGCCGATAGGTGGCAATCACCATTCCAGGTGCTCGCAGAAGGCCATTCCAATGGAAAACCGGTGGCTTTCCGGCGAAATAAGTTGCTTTAATGACACGGAGGCACCTGAGTCGTCTTGTGAGACGGCCGTGCGAGGCCAAACAGCGTGTTGCTCCTCCTTTACCCGGCGGGGGGTACAAGATGCAGTAGGAATTTTCACCTTGTTAAAATCGCTTGCTAAATTTTCGTTTTATTAATATTATTTTACTGAGATTCGTAGGTGTTGGATGAATATTTAAATACTGCAGAGCAAGCAGAGATGAGCTTGAAAAATCACGTTTGTAATGGGAAAGACTTTATCTTTCGTTCCTGTAAGTAGGACTTCACGCCTATGAGAGAAAGATCAGCAAAATGCTCCGTGCTTTCTCCCCAGTTTGTTTATTTTGGGTGGTTTTGTATCTATCGGTTTCATTGTTTCTTGCAGTCTTATTTTGCCGCTGTGTTGGGTCTTTCACGGGACAATAAGGCAGAGAAAAACAGCAGAAGAGGGAGGGAGAGATAGAGAATGTGGTTTAGCACTACAGAAATGAATTGGGTGTTTCTGTAGCACTGGAAATTTATTTTAGTTTTTGCTGTTGGCTGCATTTCAGTCTGACAGTGCCCTACGTACCTGTGGCACTCCATGGTGCCCTTTGCAAGGGTACAAAAAGTGGATTTTCCTTTATAAAAAACCCTGAAGCTACCTTAGAGGGTGCACAAGGTTGCGTCCCTTGCACACGCTTGTCATTAATTCTGCTCTTCATTTTTTTTATAGCTTCACGATACTTTAATTATTTCCGTTCTCAATTTTCTTTCCTTGAAGAAATAAAGAAAAAAAAAGCCCAAACAATCTCTCTGACTTCCAGGCGAGCTCTGCAGCGGTAGCGACTGAAAAAAGAAAATCTTAGAATGGCGTCGCTGCGCTCCTGCGCCGGGGCTGGGTTCTTGCAGGCACGAGCAGGGTGGCAGCCAGGATCCTCGGCTCTGGTTCACGCTCCCGACGATGCGGAGGGGAAAGTGCCGTTGCGTTAGCAGCAGCAGAGACGTGCCAACCTTAGCCAAGGCGGACGGGGTAGTTTTGATTAGCTGCAGCTTTCCAGAAGCTGGGAACAGCTGAAGCGCTGTCCTGCTCCCAGGAGCTCTTTATTCCCGAGTGGAGCCTTCATTTTGCTGCTTCAGCTTAAACTATGGATGGATTGGTTTATGCTGATAGACACGAGGATGTTGGGAAGCTGTGTCAGATGTTGAGAACGTTTGTTCCGTGCCGTAAAGGATACGGTTTCGTGTATCGCCCAGCCATCGGTTTTCTCCCCGCAAAGTCCTGTTTTAGTAACTCAGCTGGGGAGCTCTGCAGCGGGACTCCTCAGATGAGTAAGGATTGCAAGAGCAAGGTTCTGCTCTTGGTGTACGTTGACTTTTTACCCTCTAAGTATACGTCAGGCTGCAAGAGCTGTGGTTTATCTCAGTAGGGAAAAATCAATGACTCACATTTCCACAGAAAGAAATGTAATTTCCAGTCTCATAGCAACTGTCCTTTCAACAGTTTCAAACCTTCTGTGACAAAATGTTTAACACTCACCGCTCAGCTCCTAATGCTCTAGGCTGGTCCACCCACTCACCCCACGGAAAAGCATGCGTTTCTGCATCACTGAATCCCCCGATATCGGAGGGGGGATGCTGTCAAGACATGCTGAACAGTTAAATATAAAACCTTAGAAATGAGCGAAGCGTTAGCGACTGTTCTGTGGAGACGGAGTGACTTCTGGAGGGTTTAAAATCCAAACCCCTGTACTTTGATTTTTGAATCCCTGTTTTGTTTCTATACACCTTCGGGTGTTTTAAAATAGGTTTGGCTGGTAGCTTGGGTGAAGTATTTTGGAAAATTATTTTACTTAGAGCAAGATATTCTCTAGTACAAATGCTTCAGCTTGGTTTTCTCCCTAGAACTCATGACTTAATTTATTTTCACGAAACCCCAGGGAATTCAGTAAATACATCTGACCGTAAATTTCAGCGTGGGGTAGGGCTGAACCAGTGCTGACAGACGGTTGGACCGCAGGTGTCAGGGTGAAATGGGACTTTGTCCCCTGTTCCGAAACGGGGGTTTGTGCTGCTCTGGGCTCCGAGGCCTCGTGCCGGGTGCTGCGCTCGCCCTGCCCGGGCCCACGGGGCGAGTCAGTGGAAAGGCTCCCACCGTGCCTTTCCCCTCTTGTCCCCGTGAGAAGGCACAACAATCCTCGGGGTACCGCAGGGGAAGCGACAAAAAAATGCTGTGCTATTCCGTAATAGAAAGTGACATCGAAGGACAAAGAACTAATTAAAAATGTCCAAATATGGCTAAAAGCATTGCGCACTGAGATCCTCTAAAATATCAGAGGAAGTTGGGCACCTGTCTGCTGGTCAAATTTCTCATTAACTGAATTTAACTCGTTACTTTTCTTGTAGTTGATTATGGAAGAGGTGCACAAGAGCAGCAGTAACAGTTCAGTGACGCCTTCACAAACATCAGCTGTACAAGGTACAACACTACAGGCAGCTCAGCTCTCTCATATTGCTCAACAGGTAAAGCCTGGGCCAAATCTCAGCAAACATTTGAGGTAGTTAAGAGCCATTTTTTTATGTGCTACAAACGATACGAGTTCTTTTAGAAACACACAGAGAAGAAAAAACAAAAGAAAGTTGAGAAAAATGTACTTGTTTGTTGATGAGCGACACAAGATGCGTACCATGGCTTGTATTCAAAAGACCAGAATTCAATTTCGTGCTCGTACAATGCGAAAATGCAGCCCCGCGTTTTTGTTGGATTCTACATCCTTTGAAATCGTCATCGACCTGACGTGCAGGAGCTGCTTAGTGATGAATTCAGGACCAAAAAATACCATTTACAGCTCCTTTTGTAGTAGTGGCAATCCCGGGTGCTCAGCACCATGGAAACACTTGGATTTTAGCCCAACGTGAATGTATTTAATGGAATAAATCACATGAAGTTGGAAACTTGACGTGCTTAGTACAAGGTAACATCACTTTCAAAGCTTTATCCTGAATTCCCCGTAATCCAACTTCCTGCCTCTGAAGGAGCCTCCTCCACGGTGCAGTCTGCTCCTGCAGCTGGCCTGTGAAACAGCAAAATTTTGGGGCTCGTCCGCTGTTTACCCTATGGAGGCGATGCAGATTTTGATGCAAAATTGAGATAACTGCATGAGGCAAAGGCAGGCTAGAACATCAGCAAGCATCCTGTTGGTTGTTTGCAGGCTGCTTTTCTGCTCTGTTTTCATTTAGGATTCCCAATGCAACTTAATATTACGCTGTGCGATACGAAAGTAGCATGAAATGAAGTTAGCTGTGTGAGTTTTAACGAGCCCTTCATCTTCTCATATATTCCAGATTAATAAAAGTAGTGAAGAAATTTGGTGAGGAAACTGCTTATTTACTCACGCATCCACGTGTATAACTTTAATCAATGTTTAAGTGCAAAGGCTCGTGCGAGTCCAACATTAAAAATACAAATCTGTTCGAATGTAAAAAGTATTTTCTATAGGAGCAGCAGGAGTAATTAACTTTTTGCCAAGTAAACCTAGATTCCAGCTACAACATTTATTAAAATGGATCATTTTAAAACGTTAAAGAACAGATGCCGTAGTTTTTATTTGGAAGAATCTGCTCTTTGTTCTTCTTCCTTGTGCAGAGCTTGCATACCTTGTCTCCTGCCGTTCCCTTCCTGAGCTGGTGTCTTTCATACAGCCCTTGTGCCTTCAACTCTCTAAGTAGATTGGTCAGCTTTCGCTATACTTGACTCTTGTGGTTTCTTCTCTGTGAAATCTTTGAACCGTAGCCTCATGCCGGTTGCTTAAAAAAAAAATAATAAATCCAAGAACACCAAAAATGTGCATTCTTCGTGCTGCCTTCTGCGTTACTTCAGTATTGTCAGTCTGATCTGTCCAAAGCCCCTGGTCTTGCTGATGATTTCGTCTTGATTTATATAGGGCACTAAAGTCCTGTTAACTTCAGTGAGAATTAAGGCACTTTTATTTCTGCTTATCCAAGTCTAAGACACTCTTAAAATGGAATCAAAGCTTCAAAAAAAGTGAACTGCCACAAATGTGGGGCTTTATCTGTGCGTATGGCTGGAGTTCCACGAAAGCAGTCGAGCTCAGTCTCGGTGCTGGGATTCTGAAGAAGGCTGCTTCCTTGTGGTTCATTTAGAGCTGCGTGTGTTGAAGTTGCAGCATTTTAATCTTTTGCACGTAACGCTACAGATTCGATTTTCCCCCTAGCCTAAGTCAAGTAAGTAACTGGTGCAGCCTTTTCTCATATGCAGATGTGCATCTCAAAAACGTGCCTCTTTAAAGGGTACCTTCTGTGGCTTAATTAGACTCAAAAGAAGCCTCACTAATGCATGTTCTCCACGACTTTTCCTACGTGTATATAGACTTTCTGAATACCACAGAACAAACGCTTCTGTTAACGATTCTCTGCTTTGTTGTAGATGTCTCTAAGAGGTCCTGCTCCCCTGACAGTTGTTCAGCTTCCTGGAGAGCAAGTCCAGGTCCAGGGAGTCATTCAGACCGCTCAGTCCTCTTCCGTAATCCACTCGCCCCAGGTGCAAACGGTGCAGGTAACTACAGAATGTCTGTTAAACAACCAAGAATCCTGTTTCATGGATGTGAAAAGACTTGTGAGGGCTTGTCTGACTCGGCTGACTGCCACGGTTCAGCCTTTCTGGCCCCGCTGTAAGGGACAGCGAGCAACCAGTGACGGTATTTTGGGGATACATCCTGAATTCTTAAGGTTGAATTCTTAAGGTTGAATTCTTAAGGTTGAATTCTTAAGGTTGAATTCTTAAGGTTGAAATTATTTGTAGTGCTAAAGTTGCCTTTGGAGTCGAAATTAAACTATTTGATGTTGCCTCCCTTTATAAAAAAACCAAAACCAAACCAAACCACAGCTGGTTAGTTGGTGCTGTGAACAGGCGTGCCATCAGCGTGTTTTAATACCCAAATAAGGAGAGTGTGGAGTAGCCCGGTGAAGAGGAACGTGTGTTTGGAAAGGCAGACCTGAACGGTGGAGGATGGTTGATTGCTCCCCTCATGTACGCTCTAGCTCCGTTTCTGTGGTACCGAAGGGCTCCGCTTGCATCTCTTACTCATTTGCCATGTGATTTTTGTGCGGGCCACTTCAGAGAGGAGCCTTGAGGAGTTTACAGCCGAGCCTGTTGCTACTTCATTCAGTTCTTGGCTGCCCTCTGGGCAGCGTGGCATTGGCGTTGCTCTGTGAAATGACTGCACTAAGTCAGACAAATGGCTGGAAGAACTGTGCTAAAAAGCATTAATTTGTCACTGATGCTCATCTATTCATACGACGTTTAAACTGATAAACCGTGAAAAGTAAAGCTGCAACGTGTTTTCAGCTATCGTTGTTCCTGTAACATCAGGTCATGGAAAACAAAGCACATTTCTCTTTTCTGACAACACTTAAGCATCTGCTTTCATAGGTTGTCTTTACTTGAGTCTCCGTTAATCCCTTTCCTATCGTCGTGTTCTAGTTGCAGGGTCCCCACTGACTCTATTCTTTCCTTTTTTCCTGTGATTTATGAACATTGTGGCCTTGTTGCTCAAAGGGGAAAAAAAAAAAAGTAATACATGAGCAGCTTTTTGTAAAAATTGTTGCTAGTAGGTTGTTCTTTTTGTCTCTGTAGCAGCAGTTAAGTGAGAAATGCTTTTCCCAGAGCTGTATGCATTCTTCTTGACTTTTTGTTGCTGGCACACAGATAAGTACAAATAAATGTTTTGTTAGCTTGTATTTAATAAGGAGCATCAGAGAAAAAAAATAACGCTTGCCTGCTGGATGAGGACACAGTGGAATAAAGAGAAAATGATAGATAATACTTTGGATATTTACTCCCTGACATGCTGCTGCTTTAAGTATTATTTTCATTTGACTCTTTTATTCTGACCAACAAAATACGCTGCTCTTCTGTCTGCATAAAAGATTTGCAGTATTTTATGTGTTTGTACATAAATGTTGTTCCCGTTCCCTTTCCCACCACCTCCCTGGACAGTTACGGTGGGAGTGGCTCACCTTCTCAGGCCACATCAGCCAATAAGATAGTCGGGCTTGTTTGGTTTTCATGAAGACAATAAACCATTTGTATTTCTTCACACTGCTGGTTTTAAATTCCTGGATTGATTAATCCTGCAGTTTAGTCCAGCTGGAACAGCTAGCTTCAGAGGGTGGACATTTTTCAGCTTTTATGTGATAAATAGTTCGGGAGAATCTCTTGAGCGTTTCTTTTTTGCGTTTGTGTAGTTTTCGTGCAGCTTTAGCTCGTATACAATTAAAATGCGGAATCTCTTCTGGATGTTCCTTCTGAACCAGACCGGATAACCACATGGAATGTGTTTTTTAGGTATCTTCTTTGTCTGAGAGTGAAGATTCTCAGGATTCATCAGATAGCATAGGCTCCTCACAGAAAGCTCGAGGCATCTTAGCTCGTCGTCCATCTTACCGGTGAGTACCACGTGTCATACATTTCCCTATTTTTATTTGAACCCAAAATAGCAACTTCTTTCAATAGCATCACATATTCTGTCAGCCTCTGAGTTGATTTCCTTCTTTTGAAGCATGCATTGGCTCTGCCCTGCAGCAAACGTTTTGAGGATGCCATGTTAACTGTGATTTGCTACAGGGAAACTTTGCCTTAACTGGAGATCAGCTTCACCGTGATGCGGCGTAGGGAGAACTGGTATCAGCATCATTTTACTGAAATGGGGAGCGCAGTCAAAGGCCACGTCCCAGCTTAGCAGATAATAAATTTGTTAGAAACTTAACACAAAATTTAATATTTTTACAATAATGTTCTGAAAAATGTAAAAGACCTTTTACGAACCTGCCTGATATTCCTGTCTGTGAGGATTGTTCCCGCTTCTGCCACTGCTTTTCATTTTTTGAATGTTTTATGTGTTCTCCTTAGTACTTTCTGACGGCTTTATCTCATCCTGAACTACGTACCGGAACAAATTATTTAGGAGGGATTTTATTATTTTGGATGCAGCCAAAAATGGTGGTGGAAAAGAGCGATTCCGAGTCTTCAGTTAAAGTAGCCAGGGTAGGAAAATAGGAGCTGTAAGCAGGGAGAACTGTTCAGCCGTACGGGTTTGGGATCGTCAGGTCTGCTTTTCTCCTTGTGGAACTGTCCCCAGTTCATCGTTTGGCCTGGGCTGAGGGGCGTGAAATTCACGCTTCCGTTGGCTCTTCTGAACAGAGACGTGCCTGTGTTACTGGGGTGCTGTTACGTCGGACACGGGGTGTTGGAGAAGCTATGCAAGAGCTAAATTAAATGCAGGAAAGAAATGTCAAGTCTTACTGCGTAGCAGACGAGCAAAAGATCTAATTTTTAAACTTTTCTGTAGTAATCTACTGCTTTTTAGTTTATTCTGGCACCAGACAGAGCAAACTGGGCTTTATTGGATATACAAAGCCTATTCTTGAGAGAATTAGAGTTGTAAATCAGAAAAACCTCCTAGCAGGCCAGTTACATCTCCCCAGGAAGCGTTTATGGTGGAGACTCCAGTGCAGCCTTTACAGAAATGCAGTGGTGCGGCTGCAGTGCTGGTTTTCGGCACACCGTTGTTGTGGAGGTTCCTGAAATCAGCTGTAAATGGTGCAGGTTGCCACTGCAGGCTCATCAGCCCAAACATCTGAGGCTTTTAGAGGATAAGGCTTGAAAATCTGGAATTTGTGCTGATTTGCACATAGGCATGCTTTATACATCAGCAGCTGACTTGAATTGCTCTTGGCTCGTAAAAGGATTCAAATATTTAACTAAAACCCCAGACTATATAAACTACTGAAGTGTAACTGCATAAAGAGTTTGAGGCAGTCACCTCATACAAAATTCCCTTAATTCCAAAAGCTGTAGGACACCAGAATCGTGGTGTTTATTTCTGTAATGCGGGGTAGGGATAGCAGCTTGTACCTCTCGTTGCAGTAATGTGTAGGTTTCACCTATTAGAGCTGATAAAACTTTTTTTTTGTTCCTTTTTTTACAGAAAAATTTTGAAAGATCTTTCTTCTGAAGATACACGTGACCGAAAAGGAGATGAGGAGAGTCCTGGCGTCTCTACTGTTACATCTATGTCCGTCCCCACACCTATCTACCAGACGAGCACTGGGCAGTACAGTATGTTACACAAAATACGGGCCTAACCAGGCCCATTTGTTATTCAGCTTGCCTCAAAATACAGATTTTCTTCTTGTTATATATTTGACTAAGATGGAACTCAGATGGTTTGGTTATTTATCTAACAGTTAATGAAGTTAGTACTGTTATAACTTGGAAATAGACCAGTAGCTACAGACCCTGGGTAACCTCAACACTTCATTATCATCATTTTTGCCTATGGAGACCTTCAAGGGATGTTGCTATGAAATACGTAGCAGTCTCCCAGTATTAGATTTAGTCCAGAAGGTAAGATCAATGAAGATACCATTGTATGAATCACCGGGCCGCACCAAAAGGTGTTCCTGTGGTATCAGGGAGGTCGCAAAAAAAGCGGTCGTTCCTTTGATTTTCTCACTCTAGTATTCTTGTGACCCAAAAAGCAGCCGGCTCCGGCCCGTGGAGCACGCCCTCCCCACGCTTCTCTGAGCTGGGTGTTCGTGCTGCTGTTTCTCACTTGCCCCCGCCCCTCACTCCTTTGCCCTTTCTTAAGTACGTTTCCCCAGAGGAGCCACCGGCCGTGGGTCGGGGTGGAGCTGGTGTCTGGCTCGGGGCAGTCCCAGCCCCTGCGGCTGCTCCCCGTACCAGCGCCTCCCCCTTACACCCAGGCCCTTGAGTAGGAGCCCAGCGGCGAGACCTGGGAGTTGACAGTGACAGAAGAAAAAAGCCTTTCAAAAGGGGCAGTGTGTTTCAGCAGTGGCAAGAGATGCACAGCCGCCAGATGTGCCTTCAGCTTCTGTATGTTCCAACGTACAGCTACAAATATTGCGCCTCTTCCTTTCTCTTCCAGTTGCCATTGCTGCAAACGGGCTACAGCTGGCCAGCCCGGGTACAGATGGCGTGCAAGGTCTGCAGACACTAACGATGACCAACGCTGGTGGTACTCAGCCTGGGACAACGATATTGCAGTACGCGCAAACGTCAGATGGTCAACAGATCCTGGTGCCCAGCAACCAGGTGGTGGTGCAGAGTGAGTACACCCTCTGGAAACGGTTGGAAACACCCTCCGCGGACGCGAGTGTAACTTTCTAACGCTGCCACGTTTTGCTGTCTTACGCTATTACCGCCACAGCTGCGTCGGGAGACATGCAGACGTACCAGATCCGCAGCACGCCGACCACCACCTCCCTTCCTCAGACTGTGGTGATGACGTCTCCCGTCACTCTGACATCGCAGACAAGTAAGACAGATGATCCGCAGCTGAAACGAGAAATAAGGCTGATGAAGAACAGGTACGTAAGCGCCCGTTTGTTAGTTTAACGCGCTGAAACGCATCCTGAAAGGACAAATCGTGAGTCCTGCAAGCTGACTGTTGTGCCATCGGCGTGCTGCGCTGCATCCAGCCACCCAAAACACGGGGAATTCTGCCCAAAACACGCGACGTGCTCAGTCTCGCGCAGCTCGGAGAAAACAAATTGTTGTTTTCCCTGCGGGTTGGCTACGGTGCGTGTTACCGGGTACCGCCAAATTTCACGCTCTCCACCTGCCGTTGGGTACCGAGCAGTTTGGTTGGTCCGGGCTTGTGACGTTCACAAACCAGACGCGTCGCTGAAATAACCCGTTCTGCTTGTCTGTTGCAGAGAAGCTGCTCGAGAATGCCGCAGGAAGAAGAAAGAGTATGTTAAATGTCTGGAAAATCGGGTTGCGGTCCTGGAAAATCAGAACAAAACTCTAATTGAAGAGTTAAAAACTTTGAAAGATCTTTACTGTCATAAAAGTGTGTAAGAAAAGAAGGTAAAACTTTTGTGGACTGTTTAAATTTCAGAGGAGAAATTTTTTTTTTTTTTTTTTATACTGAATTTTTTAAAATAGATGAAAGGTCAAAACTGAAACTTTTCTACCTAGATTTCGCAACTTAAAGACTATATAGATTTTATTTACAACATGTTGATGACAAAGTACAAACAGGAGACGAGAAAACCTCACCAAAATTCCTGCTGCACAACTGGAAACTTTATAAAGCCAAGATTGCATCTCCAGTGAAAGGACAGGCGTTTCACAAGGCAGGTGATGAGAATTTCTTTGAAAATTTCTGCAAATACCTCTTGCAATGGAGGCGATATTTGGTTACAGTTAAAATGCGGATGAAATGGAATCCTTGCCATAGCTGACATTATTAGTGACATTTATAACCAGTGTATGTTTTGATTTCTTACTCTTTTTCAAGCCTTTTTCTTTCAGTTATTTGTATGTAAATATTTTTATTTTAACCTGTAAGTTGTTATTTACAGGTGCAGATGATAAAGAAAGCTAATACTTTGCTAGAGATATAAATTATGTTTACTCTTTCTCAGCTGACAGCTTAAAAAGTTGGGGTTTGGTTTTTGGTTTTTTTGTTTTTTTTTTTTTTTTTTTTCAATGTTTGCTGTGTTTTATCAAATTTGGAAAGGATCTGCAGGAAGCAGCGAGAGGCTGAGTCCTGAAAGGCCTGAGGCACGTGACCGAAGGTGTTGGCTTCTCTTAGGAGAATTCAACACGTCCGGTTACTGCGGAGTCCGGGGCGGTAGACCGGGAACTGGCGAGCAAAGGTTTCTGGAGAATGATTTCGCAATAGTTTGGTCTTAGTTGCTGGGCTTGATAAACATCTCTAACTGAGAAATCAACTGCGCGCTGATCGTAGAGACAACGGAACACGCGTTGCTTATTCGGTCTGGAGATTCTCCTGTGCTTCGGAACGTTTAAACCAAATAGGAGGAGGAGGATAAACGAAAAGATTGAAGATCTATACCAAAGGGTTAATGAGGTTCTAATATATGGTTTATATGCGGAAAGTAGTACGGAATTTCTGGACTAATTTTGTAAGGTAGGTGATATTTTGCAAAGTAATGGTATCTTTGTAAGAAAATATTCTATTGAAAACAGGTAGATGGTCGGTATATTTTGTAGCTAAATTGTGATCTTTACAAATTCTGAAATTGAGTTTCTATACGTATTTTGACAGTTTATATATTTCGTTTTAGTAAACAAATGAAATATTTTGTGAACCAGATTTTCGAGCATATATTTTTATGGATAGTTCAAAGTCAAATGAGATCGTCTTTGGTGTAGGAGATATTTGAATTAATTTTGTACGTCTGTAGGCAACTTGCAAAAAAATGGATCCTAAGGAGTATTGGAAAAAAAAAAGAGAAAAAAACCCAAAACAAAACACAAAAGAAAAAAAAACCAACAAAGAAAGAGATCAGGGCTTTTTACTCCCCACGGTTGATATTATCTGCACATGAGATCTGACAGCATCAGAGGTTCTAGCTTGTGTGACTGTAATTTGTTTCAGGTGAAAATTAAATGTTTGACATGATCAGGACTCTTTTGGGGGTGGAATCTCCATTCTTGGAGATACTCAAAAGCCGTCTGGACGTGGTCCTGGGCAACCTGCTCTAGGTGAGCAGGGGGTTGGGCAGGGCGACCTCCAGAGGCCCCGGCCGACCTCAACCATTCTGTGATTCTGTGATTCTGTGAAATAGAAAAATGTGTATGCAGTGCTTATTGCATGAATAATAAATACACTATTTTCCATAGTTAGGATTGAATCCTGCTTCCAGTTATGTCAGCGGGAATTGCACTATGGACTATGCTATTACAAAGGTGTTAGAGCTACGTGTGTGTGTTGTGCTAGCTCAGATCTGAATGAAACGAGAAGTTGTACTCACTCCCTAGATGTGTAACGCTTAGCATATGGTCAGTCAGTATTTTTTATTTTACTCATTTTTGAATTAATGGACTTCGTAGCAAGCAGAGCTCTTTGCAAATGGTATGGGAAAGGCTGCATTCCACAATCACGACATCAGTAGGCTATAAAAACGTATTTTTTTTCCTAAAGTTTCTAAATACCCGATTGTTACAGACATGATCCAGGGTACGTTTCCTTTAGGCCAAGCTGGAGCACGCGTTCGTGTTCGCACGTGCCATTGCTGCACGTGACAAATAGCCAGCCAGGCTGAGAACGCCATTACGGTAGGGAACTGCTCCACAAGAGGCGTCCGGTGCCTCCTATTCCTGTTAGTGGGATTTCAGGAAAAACGAACACCTGGGCACGTGCTTGGCCTCTCAGAGAACTGGGCCTTTCGCTCCCTCTCCCATCGGGGGGGGCACACGCTATTCGGCTTAGGTTTAAGAGGGCTTGACTTACTGAAACGAATTTGGTAACTCCTCTGTACGGTATTTTGATCCTCACTGTGTGCTGTTGTTCCTTTACCTTCTTTTGTAATGCGGAATAATAATTTAAAAAAGCTATCAAGTGTTAAGAGTGTAAAAAAAAAAAATAAAAATAAAAAAATGGTGGCCAATTCTTTCTGTATTCAGCAAGTGAAGCAAATGTAGTGCTGCCAGACATAACATCAGTAAATTTTTATCCTCTTAAAATAGTGTTTTGGGAAGAGCAGCTTATTTTTCATCATGGAAATATTAAACAGTAACATGAGTTTGCTCTTTAAGTAATCACTTATCATGAAGTACTTATTTTGGATTTACTTCAAAATCTAGATTGTAAGAGAGTAAAATCCTGTCATCTCCTGAGCGTGAGAGATGTAGTACCCGATACTGTTCTGCTGGTCATCTCCCAACGGAAGTACATGCTTTATATGAACTGTAAATATTTGTCGAAACAATTAGATGGTTGCAAATTTTGACCTTGGTAAATAAAGTCGCCAAAATGTAATTCTGATGGTCCTTGTTTATTTTTAATTAACGTAGTCCTGCAGTGGTTCTCACCAAATGTGCGTTCTTTATGTGGTATTGGGTCTTTCACCATGGCCAAGAATAAACGTGTAGTCTATGAAACGGCACCCAGCCATCTCCTGTCGGCTGCGTGCTCTCAGCAGCCAGCACTAAGTTATTTGGGCATAAATTTTAGTCGTCGCTAAAAATAATTACTGGAGAAGACCTTTTATCTTTCTGCGGGGTTTGGGGTTTTTTTTGCCTTTTTAGTTTTCAGTAAGCTGAGCCAATATTAGCAAAAAAACCTGTTGTGCTCTGCTGGTGTTCACCCAGCAGAGGGAGCGTCTCTGCCGTCTACCAAATCGCGGTGGCATTGCCAAGGAGCACTTCAGCTGCTGGTAGCTGGAAGAGCATAGAAATAAGGTAGGAAAAAAAAGTCTTTTCGGCTGGCAACACTTCTACATTCAGTTTCGTTGTTAGGGTCGAGGCTGTTATCACCTCCTCTACTGTTAGTATGGACATCAAAGGCAGAAAACAAAAGAGGTAACACAGTCGCAAATGTGACTTCTAAAAAGTCAGCGTACGCCCTTCGGCTCTTAGGTTTATTCTGAAACGGGAGGTAGCGCTCTTTTCAGAGTTTGAACCGGCAGACCAAGCCTCTGCGACGATGACGCAATGGTTTGTCCCTTCAGAAGGGCTATGCGAGTACCGTACGCATCACAGGCAGCAAGATGGCGAGCGTCATGCTGGCGGGATTCGCCGCCATGTTACTCTTCAGAAGTTCAGATTTTACCCATCTTCCGTATTGAGACAAACGGACGTAGATCCCAGGGTATTTTGGTCGGCCACAGCCGACTCCGAAGCTGGCAATCCCCATGAGATAGTACTTGTTGGTACTGGGGTGAATGCAGGCAAGAGGTCCACCGCTGTCTCCCTAAAGATAAACAATAGAGAGACCGAGTAACGTGTGTTCCCTTCCGGGAGTCGGTGTAGAATCGACTCAGTAATGCACCCACTTTTTTTTTTGGGTTAACTTTTTTCAATCAGAGAAGTTAACGGCGCAGTGATAACGACAGTAGCATGCAGTACACAGACAAATTAAGATGAAGTTGGGCTGTCAGGCTCTGGAAGGGGCTGCCCAGGGAGGTGGTCGAGTCCCCATCCCTGCGGGGATTTAAAAGAAGGGTGGATGAGGTGCTGAGGGTGCTTGGTGGTGGGATGGCAGGGGTAGGTTAAAGGTTGGACTCGATGATCTCAAAGGTCTTTTCCAACCAAAGTGATTCTGTGATTCTCTGCGGGGTGGCACTACCTGGACTAGAACGCCATGCCGGCATTGGTTTCAGCACAAGAAGGACATGGAACTGTTGGAACGGGTCCAGAGGAGGGCCACAAAAATGATCCGGGGGCTGGAGCACCTCTCCTATGAGGCCAGGCTGGGAGAGTTGGGTTTGTTCAGCCTGGAGAAAAGAAGGCTACGGGGAGACCTGATTGTGGCCTTCCAGTACCTAAAGGGGGCCTATAGGAAAGATGGGGAACGTCTTTTTAGTAGGGCCAGCTGTGTTAGGACAAGGGGAAATGGTTTTAAACTAGAACAGGGTAGGTTCAGGCTAGAGGTAAGGAAGAAATTTTTTACAATGAGGGTGGTAAAACACTGGAACAGGTTGCCCAGAGAGGGGGTGGAGGCCCCATCCCTGGGAACATTCAAGGCCAGGTTGGATGGGGCTCTGAGCAA